CTCCTTTTGTTTGAAAGCTTCAAAAGTAAAGCATTAAGCAGCCTGGGTCCTCTACAGGGGCAGCAAGCAACACAGACCAGAAAAGCCTACAGGTACTGTGACTACAATAGAGTTCCGGAAAAAAGAAAAACGTGTTTTCTATACACTACCCTTTTACTTATCTCTCACCCTTTCTTTGGTTCTTCCCTGCTTTTGACTAACAATTAGGAAACAGAAACAATTCTTTTTATGGTCCTCCTTGCTCAAGGTTTTGAAATTCTTGGCCTGGCTGGGGCTGGAAGGAACGTAGCATTTTCTCCAGAATGTACAGTCCTGACTTGTGTACCAGGGTTAAGAAGAAAACAAAACACTTAGATGAGATTTGTCAAGGACTAGTTTTTAAAATGTCATTAACATAAAAATGTTGGCAAGGAAGCACATTAGGGTGGGAGCAGGTAGAAGGGCAATGTGCTCACCTCCAGCCACCAGGAAGTGAGAGACAGGAAGGGGCTGGCATCCCAGCGACCTCTCATGGGCCAAACCTCAGGGACATAGCTTCCTCCCACTAGGCCTTCCACCGTCTCCCTTTAGCACCCAGGGCGGATGGACCAAGCCCCTAACACACGGGTCTTTGGGGACATTTCTCCAAACCGCAGCAGTGATGAATGAGAACGGCCTTCAAAATGGCTTTGCAGGCCCTTAACTGGCTGTCATTTCCACATGAGGGATTTTCAATAGCAAGTTTGCTTTGTGGCTCCCAGCACCAATCTGTGTGACTTAGGTGGACAGTTTTTAACTTAATAGTCTTCTACTCAAATCTTTCATCCATGCAGAGTATTTAATCAAGGGCAGGGAAGTTCTCTTTGGAACCTGCTGGTCCATGGAAGTCATAAAAATGCCATACTTTTCCTTGCAATTTGGCAGTCAGGAGGGTTGTTTGTTTCTTTTTGGGTGGGGTGGGGGTTTTTTTTTGGATACAGGTATTACTTTGTATTTCAGGCTGGCCTTGAACTCATTATGTAGCCCAGGCTGTCCTTGAATTCACTGAAATCCTCCTGCATCAGCCTCCCTAGTGCTGGGTTATAGGTGTGCACCACCAAGCCAGGCAGGAGGGTTGCTTTTTTTTTTAATATAAAAGTATTTGTTATGGTTTAAGTCTAGATGACCCTCAAAGCCTCCTGCGCTCATGGGGAGGTGACTGGATCACACGTGTGTGACACTCCACAGTGGATCAGCCCACTGTGAGTTTATAGCTAAATGTGATTTGGGAGGCGAAGCCTGGTTGGAGGGGGTGCGTCACAGGGGTGTGACTGGAAGGCTGCTTCTCTCATCCCCTTGATTGCTGCTGCTTCCTGTCTGCCATGCTGTGAGCTGTTTCTCCTCTTCCATGTCACCCTGCTGTGCCACTCTGCCTTGGAGCCAGCTTCCTATGGACTGAAACCTCTACAAACTGTGAGCCAAAATAAACCTCTCCTCCTTAGAACTGTGCATGTTGGATATTGTGCCCCAGTGAGGAGAAGGTAACTATGACAGTATACTATGCTATTTACCTTCTACTTCTCTATGTTGTCTATTCTCATTACATATGAATTTCCTGAGCACTGCTTCTGCAAAAGGTGACTGACAAATATTCCCACCACAGATGTGGACCCCAGATCAACCTTCCTCTTGCTTCCTGTGGTGGACTGACAACTGGTAGTCAACTTGTAACACCCAGCTGAACCGAACCAGCGTGGTCCTGGATGTGGGAGGCCCACCTGAGGACTGTTGCTGGCAGCATAAGAGGCAGAACTGGAGAGGCTATAGAGAAGCTGTTTGGAAGCTGTTAGGGAGCTATTGGTTCTTTTGGAGGAGCTTGTCATACTGGCTTTCCTGATGAACTTGGCTGTCCTCTTTATCGAAGGAGCTTGGGACCTGTTATCGCTGAGAATGGCTACAGTACACTTTGGGGGAGCTCTGGTCCTCACTTGGAACACTGCGTCCTGGCTCCGGAGGGGAAGATGGTACACTGCTTGGTGTCCAGGAGAAGCTTGTAGTGTTGGCTTTCCTAATGGGAACTTGGCTGTTCTCATCATTGGAGGAGCTCGGGACCTCATTGCCACTGAGGACAGCTGTGGTACTTTTTAGGGGAGTTCTGGTTCTCACTCTGAACATTGCTTTCTGGCTCCAGGGCCGACCCCTCAGTTCTGCTAGCACAGATCCTTCATCCTGCTGGCACAGGCTTTCTAGCTTCCACCACTGATCTTTGGGCCTTTCCAGCACAGACCCATGAAACAGGCCTACATGAGACATTATTATGAGCTCTAGGCCTCCGATTGGACTCGTGGGAGGCATTGTCATGGGCTCTAGGTCTTCAGCTGGACTCATGCAGGACATTGCCATGGGATCCAGGCCCTCAGCTGGATTGTTTTGGTCTTAGTGTGAGGACAGATTTCCTGCACTCTCTTTGTATATGACCCCTTGGATGACTATTATAAAATAATCTTATAAACTATGTGTCCTGTATTGTTTCCCCTTGTAAGCCCCTGACTACAACACTCCCCCAGCACACAACAGGCTCCCAATACTTAGCTACTGAGTAAGGGAGATAAAGGATGGTTACAGTAGCCTTGCTCCCCATACCAAGAAACAACATAATCAATAACAGGAAGAGGTAAATCACACTCTGTCTGCATCACAGATTATAATACACTGCCACCAAAAATCATGACTTCCCCAATTTAATTAAATCAGATACAGTATGTGAAGAAATATGCACGTATAGTATACTGCAATTGTGCTGCTATTTAAAGTAAAAACATTGAAAAAAGTGAAATAAAAACGTTGATATCTAAATTAACCATTATCTCACTAGTTTTCTGTAATTTTATATCTGCTTCAGTTCTTCCACATATTATTAATTTTAATCAGTGTGAATATTTTACTTCCCTAATCTGAAATAAATGGTATATATATTTTATTTACTTATGTTGGACAAGGTCTCACTATGTGGCATAGGCTCATCTTGAACTCAGGTGCTCAAGCGACCCCCTTACCTCAGCCTCCGCAGTTAGCACGGATGTAAAGGACCACTCAGCACAAGCACCAGCTCCTCAGATCTGTTGCCAAAAATAGACTTAAGTCCCAGCCATTCCAAGGAAATTTTTTTTAATAACAGTTTTATTGAGATAGAATTCACCTATAGTTCATCCACGTAAAGTGCACAATTCAGTAGCTTTCATAATAGTCACAGTATTTGTAACATTACTACTAATGCGAGAACATTTTCATGGCCCCAAAAAGCAACCCCATGCAATTGGCTATCTCCTCCCATCCCCCACTGCCTTCTCTCTATAATGATTTGCCTAATTTGGACATTTCAAGTAAATGGTATTTATACCTTTTGTGTTCCTCCACAGCCTTTCAAAATATTACTAATGCAGCACTTGTCAGATAAAGTTATGACCTGAAACTTCCAGAGACCAGACACTGGGTAACAGTCAACTTTGTAATCAGAGGTTGGTGTGCAACAGCAGTCAATAAACGTCTGTTAAATTTCAAGGATGAGGCAAATAAACCCTTAAGGGATTGCAAGATCACAAACGCAGCAGGGAAATGGTGATTCAAGATTTTTAAAGTATATATATAATTACTTCTTATACGGACTATAACTCTGTCAGTGTGTTTCCTTGTTTGTAAAACAGTGGTCAATCTAAAATCCCAGCCACTCCAGAGGCTGAGGCAGGAGGATCACAAATTTCATGGCCAGTGTGGGCAATATAGGACGTGTTTTTAAAAAAGGAGGAAAAAACAAAGGTCAGGTTTATTTCGGCACAAACCTGAGAGGGACCAACCTGGCACCTGGACCAGACCAGCAACTCTCCAACAGACTATGACAAGCACAGAGGGGAGCTGTTGAAGCAAAAGGTCAACATGGACTTTCTATCGGGGTGTGCAGTGGGAAGGAGCTGTGGCTCCCTGCTAGGCGCGAAGCCTGAGAAAGCACAGGGAGCGGTGGCTGCCCGTTAGGAGCAGCGCTGGACGGGAGTTATGATGGGTTACAGAATGTAGCCATGGTAACTGAGCCTTATTAACCTGTACGGATCTCTAGCAGGTGTACAGCAGCGGGACAAAACAGGCTTAAGATGGCTGCAGTCAGACTCCTTCAGAAAGATTCTTCAAAATAAAATAAAACAGAGGCTGGAGGGAGGTGGTTGTAGCTCAGGGGTAGAGGCTTGCCTAGAGTGTGTGACGCTCGGGGTTCAATCCCTAGTACCAAATATCAAATTAAATTAAATTAAAATAGTACCTACTTCATAGGTTATAAAAACGTAAGCTACTCCTGAACTCTACAAAATCTTAACATGTCAGATATGGCAATCACCCCACAATGGAAAAGAGAGACAATACAGGAAGATTAAGAACACGAGAAGTCAGGCCAGCTCCCCGCTCTGCCAAGAAACCAGCCGCACTCTCTGGCTGGAACCCCCTTACCCCTGGATAAAACCAGAATTACCAGGGCCTCGGTTGGGATTGAGTAAGGCGCCTCTCCAGCACCCAGCCCAGCGTTCCAGCCTCTCTAGGTTGGACTAGATTTACCGCCTCCTTAGGTGGGAATCACAAGCTCACAATCCTGTTCCCGCTCTACTTGGACAGTGTAAAATTGTAAGTTACAACTTTACTCCCCTCTTACTTGGACCTCATGGATAACAAGGTTATAATTTTATTGCCACTTCATCAGGAAATCCCATCTTTATCCTAAGGTCAGTATCGCTGACGAGGCAGGGTGGTGCACCAGGCCAAGCAACCTGCCTCGGGTCGCAAAGCCAGCGTCCCTCTGCAGGGCCCCACACTCTTGCCCTCGGGCCACCTCCGGCCCTGTCTAAACAGGATTTACAACCACCAGCGCTTGCAGGAGGCGAGCTGACACCCGCTCCCGCTGGAGAGTGATGCCAGCATCTTCACCCAGAGGAAAGGGCGTGCAGTCTCGGGGCGGTGCGCACCCCGCCCTGGTGCCCCACCCCACTGGACCCCAGTGGGGCGCCACATTCGAGCGGGCCGTGCGCGCGGCCGGAGAGCCCACCTTTCCCTCCCAGCCGCCCGAGCCAGCAGCCCGGCGTCCGCAGCCCCCGCCCTCGCGACGTCACGGCCGCTAGGTGCAGTGCCCCCTAGGGGCCCGCTCCGCCGAGCAGGAAGCGCCGGTGCCTCCCCGCCGCTGGCCCGTTACCGCGCGCCGCCCTCAGGAGGAACTCGCATCCCCCCAGCATGAGCGCGCGTCTGCACCTCGTCCTGCGCCGGCTCGGCCGCTCGCCCCGGACCCCGGGCCC